CAGCTTACTCCTTCCATTTCCATAACAACTAGGAGTAAGCCGCAAGTTAACAGAGCGACACGAGTAAGTGAAGTCACAAATTCTCCACATCTCACTTTGTCTCTTGAAACGAAACTACAGTTATTCTTTAGATGCCACAATTTATATTAAACCTATATTTCTAAATTAAATTTAAAATGTTTATATTGTACTACATGTAATCAGTAATTTTACTTCGCCTATACATAGACATTATGAGTTTTTGTATTAAATTTGTAAACAGACAATGTACTACATTTTTTAAATACGCCAATATCGTGAAAGACATTCCCAATATCATGTATTTTGCTGTACCTTAAAATATCATCAATATTTTCATTCACATTGTTCTCATGTATATGAGCTAGTCTCTAAGGCAGGCCATATGATAATATGAAGTAGTATGAAATGCTGACGTTCATAAATTTAAATAAGACTCGATGTATTACAATGTTCTAATATATGTATATGCACTAGCTTAAAACTTAACAAAATGCATAACAGGGTTTAAATGCGTGGTCATTTGTATTACATAATCCATTATTCCAATGTCTCTTTAGTTCTCTCAAAGTTCTTAATTGCATGCAAATGTTCGAACCCAAATAAAAGTGGTCCAAAGTTAGTTTTAGAATATCTTTTTATTTTAAAAAGAAATTGTTTCTTATTCTATAGATGAGCATTGATAGTTTGAAGACCTAAAAATATTTTAATTCTGTCGTTATGTAATATAAATCCTGAATGTTCTGTTTCTAATGTTTAATTTTTCTAAACGCATAGTCAATTCAAACAGTTTACTAACATTATTAATGAACGTTACTTTTCCAATAATTTTATGTTTCAACAGCTGTATTAATTATAAAAATGTTTAACTTCATTGTAAATGTATGTATATAGACGTGTCATGTCTAAGACACAACAGATCCTTGTTTATGTCTCGAAGCATGGCTTTACGATGTCGTTAGGAAATGTTTTGGGAAAACGCGAGATTAAATTTATATTTAATAGGCATGAAAAATAATATATTTATCTCACCTAATACCAATATTAATGTATACAAGTTCTTAATATCTAATCACCTTTGAAGTCGGTGCCTTCTACAGATTAACTTAACACTAATATATTATAAAATGATACCAAATAATAACGACCTAAAAGTAATCTAAAACTAAATTAACTTACTCTTATTATCATATAACTCGATGTATTTAGTATACAAAAATAATCGGTAAGGAACTAAAACAAAATTTCCTTTATTATTAATACAAGTAAAACATAAGATAGTATGTATATGATTGATAATTCCTTAGCTAAATAATGTAATCGAAGTAAAAATATTAAAGAGTACCCAAATTAATATCTCATTAAATCTATATTCTTAGAAATTGTAATTAAGAATTCGTTTAAAATAATATTTCAAATTTTATATTAGAACAGTATTACCGTACGTCACAAAACTTTGACTGCACGTAAAATACGTGAAAGAATAATTTAGAACAATTCTTGTTTTATCAAGTAATTAGTGAAACAGTAATATAAAAAGTAATTTGATGATAAATCACGATAAAATAAACAATACTTTTCAAGAGCTTAAAATTAATAATGTAGTCAATACAAAATAAAATATATTTAACAGAAGTTATTTAAGTTGTAGAGTTATCTCCGAGTTTTAAGGACATTAAATATTAAACTCCAGTGGAGTTCTAATACAAACCAATAAGTAAACTCATGTCTGCAACGTTTACAGTCGAGACAATAATTATTAATCATTAACATACGTGACTGCAGCTAGACTCATTTATTTTTTAATATTAGTTATGTCTAACTAAAATTCTATGGTAGTATTTTAGTAGCAAGTAGAGTTATTGTTATGTAGAATTAGCAACGAAGTAGTAAGTAGTGATGTAAATTTTATTAGTTATTGCACTTGTGTTAAAAATACTGTGACTTAATTTGTTTGAAGGCTTTATATTTATACAACTTAGTAGACTTCTAAAATATCATATTTTCTATTCAACATGTTAAATCTTATTATAATATCAAATTATGTTAGAAATATTGGCTTATAACGAGATTAATTATTCGTTAGTTTCACAGTAGTTGCCGCTTTAGTAACTATTTACTTATTATTTTGGAAATCCACAGGTATGCATCCAAATAGCAACTTTATACAAAAAAATCAATAAAGTGGCTTCCATTAAAAAAATTATTAATGTAAATAAAGTTTGATTTAAAAATGCGAAATTATTTTTGAGGTTTGGATAAAAAACAAAGCGTTTATTTGAAATGGAAAAGTACTGAGTATTTTCATAGATCTGTCACGTGTTTGTTTTATAGAAACACTTATTGTTACAAAAATACGTGCCTGAGAAAAAATTGATAAAAAGCCAACGGTAATAAGATACTTTTTTTAATAATTTTTAATCAAATACTGTTTAATAGTATTTAAATAGCAAATATTCTGTTAAGAGTTAAGCCAAATTATATTTATTGTAATAAAATCAAACCAATATGAAAAAAAGTTATATTTGTCTTTAAAATAAAATATATTGTATATAAAAAAAATTATGATGACAAAGATTTATTTTAAACTAGCTGACCCGGCAGACTTCGTACTCCCTCAATCAAGAAATAAATTATTTCTTAATTATATTTTTGGAGTTTACCTTTAAAGCTTAAGCCATAAATCTCCGTGTTCTAAAGTGCGACAGAATGATTGACATATTAGTTAGTTGTCAAATCTAATGTCAAAAAACCCGTTTGTATGGGAAAGCGCTGTTTTTAGGGTTTTCCCGGAAATTATTTTTTTTTTCAGCTTTTATACCTTTCCTGAACCTCCACGAACATTTCAAGAGTAAGATATGATAAATCCGTTCAGCCGTTCTCGAGTTTTAGCGAGACTAAGGAACAGCAATCCATTTTTATATATATAGAAGAAGATAATCTAGATTATAGAAATATGATTGTTGATTGAAAGATGTATATTTTTCTTTATATGAGCATATATTTTTTGGTATTACCGACATATAGGTATGACCCGTGAAAAGCGACACATAAATTAAAATGTAGTATTTATATATGTATAGTAAAAATATATTTTAGTTAAATACTCGTATCATAAATAACTAATTCTTACGTTTCATGTATTAGTGAGACGATTCTGAAATGAAAAACTCTGAAATACCATATACATATACATATGTATATATATATGTATATGTATATATATATATCATAGGCGTATATATATATATATATACAGGCGGTCCTCGACTTACGTCGTTTCGATTTACGTCGTTTCAAGTTACGTCGAACAATGTTTTGACACTATTCCTCAAGCATACGTCATTTGTTTCGATTTCCGGCATATCGGAGAATTCACTTGTCGCAAGGTCAATGTCCGTGAGGGGCGCTAACCGTTTGCCTGACATTGCAGTTACTACTGATGATATTGATGATCTGTTAAGCTCACATTCGCAAGAACTGACTGATGAAGATCTTATTGAATTGGAGGCACAAGTACAAAAGGAAGCACTCGAGTCACAAGAAATAGCTTCTTCTATTAGTGACTCTGAAAAAGAACTTACACTAAAAAAACTTTCCGTAGCCTTTGCAAATTTGAAGAATGCCATGAAAATTTTTGAAGAAAATGATCCTAATTTTGAGAGAAGTTTTAACGTTTATAACAAAATTTGTGCCGCCTATCACTGTTACCAAGATCTGTATGATAGCAAGAAGAAAGAAGCCAAGCAATCTAGAATTGATAGTTTCTTTAAGCCAAAAGTTTAATTTATTATTTATCATTACATATGTATAAGTTTTATAATTATTATTAAAATTAATAACACACAAATACCAAAAATAACTAGCAATTTCATAAGTGCATAATATATAATTATTTTAAGAACTTACTTTTAATAATAAAGTACGTCCTTTGTTATAAATGCAGTTTTTTTTATTATTTCGAGTCCGTGTGGAACCTAACCCTTGAGTTTTACATGTAAACATATGAAAAAATATGTCTCGACTTACGTCGTTTCGATTTACGTCGCGTATTTCAAGAACCTAACATGCCGTAAGTACGAGGACTGCCTGTATATATATATATATTTCTACTTATTCAAAAAAGGTAAGTACAACAAAAATTTACAGAAGCCAAAAGCATTACACCTTGAATACATCCGTTCATTTGATTAAAGTAGAAAAGAAAATTCTTGACCAATTTCATATAAATAAATAAAAAATATTAATTTTATATATTAAGTAATAGGTATATACAGGGTGACTGGTGAATTACTATCAATATTTAAGGAGCATACTCGGTACATGATTCTCATTCGAATTATGTAAAAAAAATTGGTACTTAATTTTTGACCAAATTTCCGTATAAATAAATAAAGTGTTGACACGTTCCAAGTGTTCCTAGTGTGGACGCGTGCGGCGGCGTGCTGATACAAAACCACGCCCCCGCCGCGTGTGTGTGAGTGTGTGTGTGTATACCTAATCTGTAGGGTATTCACACGATGCGTAATTAATTACACAACTTTTGGTTAACTTTACTTAGAAGTTTATTAATATTTATGTTATATTAATTTTTATTTTGTCATATATGATCGTCAAATATCACGACCTCAAATATCGATAGTAATTCACCAGTCACCCTGTATATATATATTATGGCTTCATTTAACCAACATTTTTTCTTAATAATCAAATGTCACGCATAGATGTTGCATCCACAAAGGTGAGCCAGTAAATACATTTTTTATCCAGAGTTTCTATATTCTTAGTAAATTCTTGTACAAGTTTTTCTCGTTCGTGTTAAAGAAATTTATATGAGAATCGTGTTATTTTTTTGTACCTACATATATTAAAGATTCATAACCGGAACTGGATTCAAATATTGGGTACTGGATACTGGATTGTGTAATGCTGAGTAGACGCTGCGAGGGTTAGGGCCCTGTTTGTTTTTAGATAGAAGCGAGTTGGACGATCAGTTGGTCGACCATTTGATCGATCACTTGGTCGACCAGTTGATCGATCAGTTGGTCGATCAGTTGGACGATCAGTTGGTCGACCAGTTGATCGATCACTTGGTCGACCAGTTGATAGATCAGTTGGTCGATCAGTTGGTCGATCAGTTGGTCGATCAGTTGGTCGACCAGTTGGTCGATCAGTTGTTCGATCAGTTGGTCGACCAGTTGGTCGACCAGTTGGTCGATCAGTTGGTCGATCAGTTGGTCGATCAGTTGGTCGATCAGTTGGTCGATCAGTTGGTCGATCAGTTGGTCGATCAGTTGGTCGATCAGTTGGTCGATCAGTTGGTCGATCAGTTGGTCGATCAGTTGGTCGACCAGTTGGTCGATCAGTTGGTCGACCAGTTGGTCGATCAGTTGGTCGACCAGTTGGTCGATCAGTTGGTCGACCAGTTGGTCGATCAGTTGGTCGACCAGTTGGTCGATCAGTTGGTCGATCAGTTGGTCGATCAGTTGGACGATCAGTTGCCCAACCAGTTGATCGATTGAATGAAAATCTTATAATACTACGATCTCTTTGAAAATCAATGAATTAATTTGCCGACTAGTAACCGAAACGTCGGGATCATCCCTACTAATTTTATAAGCAAAAGTAACTCTGTCCGTCTGTTACGCTTTCACGCCTAAACCACTGAACTGATTTGAATGAAATTTGATACAGAGATAGAGTTGACCTTAAGACAGAACGTAGGAAATTTTTCATCCTAGACTTTTGAAAGGTTCTCTTGGAAACACGATGTAACCGAACCCCCCGCGGGCGAAGCTAAGGGCGGAAAATCATAAAAATAAGAATCTTAGATATCATTACTTATTCAATCTTCAACGAGAGTAGATCAGCATTATGCTTACCACAAGCTACACGTTACTGAATACGTATCGTTTCACGTTTCTCATTCAATACTACGTTAATACTATATAGATGCGTTAACACTATATATCGCGCGTTAGATAGGGTCCCTTAAACCTACACCTGGGTCACAAGTCACAGTCACTGTTGAAGCTCCTCTCACTACAACGGTGGACCCGACACACGCACCGTGAATACATGGAATGATGAGAGGATTCGTCTTTTTTATGCTAAAGGGAGCAACCGAACAGACGGTCTACTTGATGGAAGATAGTACCGTCGCCCATAGACATCCGCAACATAGTTTTGTGAATCAAAAACCAAAACTTAACAGTCAAATATATTGATATTACTTAAAATATTATATAAGAAAGGAAAATACCCAAATTTTATTAATCTCTGATCAAGTTATAAAAATAATAAATTATTATTAACAGACTTCAAGATAACATGCATAATGTATATATAAATGAAAACTCGCGAAAGTTTTAAGTCTCATTAGGATGTACATAGATTATTATTTATTAAATTGTCTCTTACTATAAAAGTGTGGTGACCTTATGTACTAAAATCACTGAATTCATTTTAATGAAATTTTAACGTAATATAGTTCATAAATTAGAAAAACATTTGGTATATATTATATGGAAAACTTCAGCCAATTTCCAGTAGTAACAAACCATAAGAGTTGTGTTGAGTGTGAAGTCACGGGACACACTATATAGGTCGCTGACGGTTGGGTCACATATATTACATAATATATATATATATATATATATACTAGTAAACCCGGCGAACTCCGTTTCGCCACCAGAAGGCTTTTCTATAACACTTCGTTTGGTGATTAAAAGATGAAGAATTTTTTTGTTTCATATTGAAAAGGAAAATTTTTATTTCATTTCACAACAGTAATGAATTCATTTTGATTAAAAAAATGAAGTGTTATTTAGTTGAACTTCTCTAAGTAAATGAAAGTGAATCCAAAGTAGATACCGAATCGAAGCGTTATACGTGTCCGCAAATTATCCGTTTCATTGAAGTGCTCCTTTGTAAACCACATTTTTTTGTTTTTTGGTCTAACTTTAACACAAATAAAGTGTATGGTTTCCAAACTTATGAACCCGCAAAATATAACTGCCCATGTGAAAAACAATGATTTTCTAAATTTATCCCGCAAATACTAAATGGTTTTAAGAGTTCAAACTACAGACACAATACCGGTTTGTCACATGAAATTAACTGAGAAGAGAACAATGAGTAGCTGTCAAACAATGTATCATGCGACGGCACCATCTACTTAAAAATACCTAATATTGATTTGTAGTACATGCTATGTATGATGGCGCTGTATGTGACAAAAGATTTTTCCCCCTTTTCTTGGTTCTTTCGTTCTGAAGTTATAGCGTTAGGATGGAAAACCGGACTTATTTTTATATAGTAGATTTCTTACAAATATAAAATTCTCATCATTACATTACATATCTGTCATTATACGTCATCATTATATATCTGTCATTATACGTCAATTGCATAGCTGTCAATTATGTTTCGTTATTCCACGTTTTATAGTGACTGACGTTTCATGTCAAGTCAGACGGGAATGCTGTCGAACGGGATAAAAAGTATGCTATTGCAATTTCCTGGTTCTAAACTACTTCCCTGCCAATTTTCAGCTAAATCGGTTCAGCCGTTCTTGGGCTATAAGTGGAGTCACTAACAAGACTTTCTTTTATATATATATAGATGTGGTTAAGATATCAAGAAAATGGTTTTAATAATTATATATATATATATATATATATATATATATATATATATATATATATATATATATATATATATATATATATGATATTTTATATGATTTTACTGAAGACTAACTAACACTAACAAGACTAAAACAACAGATATGCCTAAATTGCATGGAACGAGGCCGAGTAGGAATTAGAATTTCAATTAAGAAGATGAATTTCCTGATTGACATTCACAATTAACCTTAAGAGTTACACTTTAAACTACAAATGTAATACTTAAACGAATAATATATTATATAAAACGACTCATATTTAATTATCTATATATAATAACATAAAGCATAAAATCGATTCTAGATTTTAAACAGATTTTATTCACAAATTATTATTGATTTGAATTTCAAAGCAATTATCAGTTTTTAATTTACAGTATATAGTATGTTTTAAATATTCTTATTCACTAGATCAGACTTATTAACTATGAAATTCTCTTATAGCTTGTAAGAGTAACAGATATAAACACTTGGAAAATCCCGAATAACTTTCGGATATTTATTGCAAATGCGAAATAAAAATATAGAAAGCATTTCTTTTTTATGACAGGAAGATATTTTTATTCCTATATTTTTAATGTGTGGTTCTATACAAATGTTTTAAATTTTGTTGAAGGAGAAATTTTTAAATTTACATTACTACTTACTTCTTATAACACTGCTGCTAATATTACATCACATTATAACTACCTGCTTCTAAAACACTGCCGTGGAATTTTAGTGAGATATAACTAATAATAAAAATGAATGAGTCTAGCTTCATTTACGTCTGTTAATGACTTTTCTCTGAACTGCAAAACCGAAAAGTTGAGTTTAGTACATTTTATCGTGATATATCTTCAAATTACTCATAGAATACGTATCTCCTAAAAACTTACTTTCGGTTATAAATAAATAAAATTTTGAATTTACATTAAACTGAGTTTGGTCTGTTTGAAGTAAATTAAAAACTGACTTAATAACTTTTAAGTATCTTTGTTTAAACTTATAGTGAAATACAAAATTAGTTTGTAAATATAAGTTTGGTCACGATTTTGCCTACTCTAGTGTCCTTGAAAACTAGACGAGAATATAGAGACCATATGTTTCTATTTAAAATTGGGTTTTTGAATAATTTTTTTTTTTGTGATAAATGGAAAGATCATATATAAGTTTTATAACAAAACTCTTTTTATTTATTTTTTCTTTGCAATAATTAAAAAGTTATTTCAAAATAAAAATTAAATTTTAAATTCAGTACCGAAGATCCGCCGACAGCTCCCGAATAAATCCGAGCGCGTGTGACGTCACAATGTTAGTTTTTGCTCATTGCAGCATACAGAGATATAATAATTAGTACAGTGTTTTGAGTTTTTATCTAGTAAATTCTGTTGGCATTGTTAAATAATCAAAAATGTTAAAACTCAAAAGTTATCGCTCTTGTTTTGTACCATTATGTACAAATACTACAAAAACAACTCCTGAAAAAATGTTTTTAAATGTTCCACAAGACGAAAAACGTCGAAAGAAATGGTTTCAAGCAGTGCACCGAGATTATTCAAAAACAAAATCAATTTTTTTTTGTTGTGAAGATCATTTCGATGTTAGTATAATAATTATATAATCATAATAATATTGTTATTAATTATTTTATATTTAAGTGTATAAATCGAATAAGTATAGTTCAGTAATTAATTTTTTTACCTGGGCTCTAAATTATAACCTTTAGAATCGTAGCATTAAAAAATTTTTAATTGATAATTCAAAGCGATTAAATAGTAAATCTATATGTATGTTTGTCTAATAATTGGAATTCAATTAATAGATATTTTCATAATTTTATAACATTCTAGGTTCTATATCGGACTACATTTAAATTTTTAAAGTAAATGTTATTTTGGTTTTTTATAATGTTATAATAACATTTTATTAATCCTTCTTTTATTATACTTCTTCTTAATTTTTCATTGATAGTTAGAGTAACTGAGTAAGCTTTACTCCGAACTCGGTGTTCTGGACACACACGTCCTTTTAAAACACAAATACCATTCTTACGATTAAGTTGACCATAACCTATAACTTTATCACCGTAACTCTGACGTGATGCTCTACAATTAATGAAATAATTATTAATTATATTTAATAGAGAATAAATACTTATTTTCATTTAGAATAGTATTTTTTAACAGATTTACCTTGATGCCTTAGCACCTCGAACTTCAGCAGAATTAAACCGAACGTCATTTTTTAAAAAATTAGTTATAAATATATCAACATCAGGAATATTGTCCGATTTTGCTTTTATAAATCCTTTATCACACATAGTCGAAGTAAACTTTTCAAATCGTTTTTCACTAATAAATTTGAGATATTTTTATCAAGTCAAAAATAATAGCCATAAACACTGTACTATTATGAAATTGCTTTAACATTATGACGTCACAAGTATGCCGACCAATCATGGCGCGTTTACAGTCACGTGATTTGTTTTTGAATTTTATAAATTTTTAATTGTTTATAATTAATTAAAAAAAAATGTTTTCAAGTTTTTTGCCTTAAAAATCAATATAATTAATAATAAAGTTTTAAAATACATAAAAAAAATCAATACTTTTTTTTTTCATAATCCCAATTATTAACAGCCTTATAGGTTCGCCTTATCTCCTAAATAAAATATTATTTAACTGTCCTCGCTTAAGTGCTCGGTACAAAGACACTTTCGCAACTCCAAATCATAAAAGAAATTATGACAAAAACAGTTTTATAGTAAGATCGTGTAGCAACTATAACGATAAATATAACCACATAGACTTGTTCAGCAGCGGTCTCAGTAAGTTTAACTCGATACTTAAAAAT